ATTTAATGTAACTTTAAACTCAACACCTACTAATTATAAAATATAATAGATCACAAACTTGTTTTTTTATTTGGCATGACACTTGTTTTCTCACTGTATCAACAACTGTTATTATTTGGTTATTATAGGAAATAAAGTGAGAAAATAAATTTAAGAGTCACTGAAGAATCAATTTATGTTCATCGTATGGAGGATCACGCGTCTAAACTGAACAGCATAATTCGGATTAATTTAGCTGTGTCACCGCCTTTATAGACCTTCGAATATGTTTCAATTTCATTAATCGTGAAATAATGCTGTATAGACTACTTCTAATCGGTATCGACGGGAAGCTGTATAAATCAATTCGAAATATATATCAATATTTTTGTTCTTGTGTTAAGATAGATAACAAGTTTACTGAGTTGTTTGACTGTAAATCCGGAGCAAAGCAGGGAGACAATCTGTCTCCGAAAATCTTTTCCGTTTTCATAAATGATTTTGTGAAAGAAATTGAGGATTTAAATATTGGTTCCGAAATATCTGCTATTATATTGTTAGTAGACAATGTCATAAATACATGTACTGCTATCATATTGAAGTTAATAGACATAAATAGTCATAAATACTGCTATTGTATTGAAGTAATTAGACAATGTCATTAATACTATTGTTATGTTGAGGTTGATATACAATGTCATGAATACTGCTATTGTATTGATGTTAGTGGACAATGTCATGCGTACTGCTCTTATATTGAAGTAAGTAGATAATGTCATGAATACTTCTCCTATGTTGAAGTTGTTAAGCAATGTCATAAATACTGCTATTGTGTTGAAGTAAGTAGACAATGTCATAAATACTGCTATCATATTGGAGTTTATAGACAATGTCATAAATACTGCTATTGTATTAAAGTTATAAGACAATGTCATAAATACTGCTGTTAGTTGAGGTTGATATACAATGTCATAAATACTGCTATTGTACTGAAGTTAATAGACAATGTCATAAAACTGCTATTGTATTGAGGTTAACGTCAATCATTGAATGTCATAAATACTGCTATTATGTTGGGGTTGATGGACAGTGTTATAAACACTGCTATTATATTGAAACAAGATATGTTTGTAAAACATGTATGTCCCCTATCGGCAGCCAATTAGTCATGTGATCAGGTTATTATGCATGACCTCTGACCCAGTGAACAAACACATGATAAGGGTTATCTAGTATATACTGGTCATGACTAGTCACAAGGTAATAATTAGTGTGACCCCATAGGTTGTGTGCAGCAATTTAAGTTATTACAAATCTTACCAAATAATATATGCATACATTTTATGAATCATGTAGGCCCAAGTTGTTATATTACATAAGACCTTCAAATGTGTATACCAAAAGCATTTTTAGTTTAATATAAAAATATCAACCAAGGCAACTTGAGTTGTTGAGTTATTGGTCAGAAACCGTCATTAAGTACAAGGTCAATATGACATTGACCCCTTGACCCCAAAATCAATAGGGGTCATCTACTGGTCATGACCAATCATCATACAAAGTTTGAAGTTCCTAGGCCTAAGCGTTCTTTAGTTATTGATCGGAAATCGTTTTTACCTACAAGGTCAATGTGACCTTGGCCTTTGACCCCTTAACCCCAAAATCAATAGGGGTCATCTGCTGGTCATAACCAATCACCATACCAAGTTTGAAGTTCCTAGGCCTAAGGGTTCTTTAGTTATTAATCGGAAACCGTTTTTACCCAAAAGGTCAACCTTGACCTTTGACCCCTTGACCCCAAAATCAATAGGGGTCATCTACTGATCATGACCAATCACCATACCAAGTTTGAAGTTCCTAGGCCTTAAGGTTCTTTAGTTATTGATCGGAAATCGTTTTTGCTTACAAGGTCAATATGACCTTGACCTTTGACCATTTGAACCCAAAATCAATAGGGGTCATCTACTGGTCATGACCAATCACCATACCAAGTTTGAAGTTCCTAGGCCTAAGGGTTCTTTAGTTATCACTCGGAAACCATTTTGTCTACGGACCGACGGACGGGACGGACCGACAAGTGCAAAGCAATATACCCCCTCTTCTTCGAAGTGGGGGCATAACTAGTAGACAAAGACAATAGATGTCGTAGATACTGCTATTATGTTGAAATTTATATCATAAATACTGATATTATATTGACATAACCTGATGTCTTTATTGTTTGATATATATTTTGGGCCGTGGTAATCTTTGATTATGAAATAAAAGAGTTGAGTTGAGTTGAGTGACTGGAATAGACTTCTTTCATTCAATGAAAATCGTCTTACAAGGAAACTATTTGAAATGGATTAAAGTTCCAACAATTGGTGTAGTGATCTGAAAGAAATGTTATCCTTAATCGGTTTAACGGAGTACTACAACAACAAAATGGTTATAAATTTTGGCTTTGCGCGCTCTAAGATCTTTGAATACTATAGAAGCATATGGAAAATCGGGATAGAAAACGTGTCAAAGCTATGGACTGTATTCAAAACAGAGTTTCAGATTAAAAATATGTCTCTTTGAGTATGTATGAAAAGAAACGAACGATCACTTCCTACCCAGTTAAGATGCGGCATTTTGCCATTGCGCGTTGAGACAGGACGTTATATATTGGTGTTCGTGTTGAAGACTCTTTCGATTTTGTACGGATCAGTGTATGAAAACGAAGAACATTTTGTAGTTAAGTGCTCATTTTATAGACATATACGTTCTGAATACATGTACTTTGGTGAACTATATAATACAAATGATTTTAACTCAAAGACTGATTCAGAAAAAAAATAGTTTATTTGATAAATAACAAATCCAGAACTGGGGATAGTCTGTCTACCTTATTATTTCCTTTTAATCGGGACAAATGAAACCACTATGCTGGAAGCTTAAGAGAGGAAATGTTCTTGCAATGTAGCGTAATTTGATACAGTAATTGACCCTTCAAAACAAAATCTTCTGCATGAATTACATGTAGATATATAATCGTCAAAGAAGCTGATGACGTTGTCATTGTATAATATTGATTAATCCAGGTAAAAGGATTTTCATGTTTATAATTCATAGGACCTTCCGTTAATCCGTTATAAGATTGACATGTAAGATATGGAGCACCTTTCCACATACATTGTATTTATATCTAAATAGTTATGCTGTAATTCCCTTTCAGAAATAGTCAATCAAAATGTGCAGTATATATGTTATCACAATTACTGTTCTAGATTGTTTGGTGTTTTGAGTCTGCTTTCGGCACACCCTTAACCCATTAACCCATTTAAACAATTATTTGCAAAAGTCATAATCAGAGAATTAAATTTTGACATTAATGGTAGCTATTTATAAAATATAGAATGGCCGAAAAGACTTTTTTCTATGTTCAAATTCATTAGTAGTTAAAGTAACTCGAAATCGAAAACCTTATGGTTCATATGCGCTCCGAACGATGATTTTATGTACATATATTAAAGGAAGCCTTAACACTTTCAAAGAAGCACATTACGGTCATTCATAAACGTTGGTTCCACGTGTACTATCACTACACGTTTTTGGCAATTTTATGCTGGTGCTTACTTCTATTTCACTGACATGTGAAATTTGTTTTTCGATTCCAACTGATATAAGGCCGTTAAAAACCTTATTGAGTTGTATATGAATTCCTTTAATATTGCAATGTTCAGTGCAAGTAGAATATTCAAAGACGAAAATATGTAAATGTGTTTATTTTATATATTTTCTTACCCTATCAAGCTAAAAATCTATTTTATCTTAATCAATCCGGTGCCATAAATCCAATTCAGTCAAGGAACTGTGAATTATTCCAAATCAGCCCGAAACGATTACGCACCGTGTTTGTAGGTTAAAGCTGTGGTCATACTTACATCCTGGCAGAGCCCTGGCAGATTTCCGGTAGACATCCGGGGTAATCCAGGAACAACCTGTGTACGACCGGAAACAACCGGGGTACTTCCGTAATTCCGCCGGCAACGTCCGGGATGATCTGAGAACATCCGCATTTGACCCCTAATAGAATAAAAGATGTAATATCACCGGGGTGGTCAGGGGTGATCCGAGAAGGAATAGCTTTGACAAAGTCGTCCTTAGCTGTGCCGGAGATGACCGGGGTTACACCGCGGAAGCACCGTAGCTCTGCCTATCGAGAATCGTAATAGTGGAGTATAAGAATACGTCTTTTCAGGTTCGTACCTTTATTGTAATATATAAACATAACGTAAACAGGATGTGACGTCTACAACGTAACGTATAAATAGCGGTAGACGTCACGTGCATAAGAGCGCTAACGTACATATCTTGACACTGGGGGCAGCGAAATGATATAAAATGCACGTACAATATGTTGAAAACGAAATAGCGTTAAATAAAAGTTATCAAAATGTCACCTTCAATACATTTTAAACACAGTATCCTTTAAGTCAATATTCACTGATAATTATATTGTAACTTGGAAATTGAATAGATATTATATCACTTTTAAATCACTTCTAACGGATAAAGTTTCACAATAGCTCTGTTTGTTACACCATTTTTGGTTCTTATTTTTGCTGCACGTGTAAAGCCATCTCTTCCGGTTACTACGGCTAGTTTCCACTGAGAACGTGGTTTTTCGTCATGGATCTGCACTACATCTCCAGCTGATATCGTTTGAATATTGTTTCCTGTCGTCTGGTGGTGTTCACGTAAGGCAGTGAGATACTCGTGTCTTCATTTCTCCAGGAACCGGTCAATCAGTTATTTCTGAACTCTGGCTCTTCTTGTAAAACATGTGATATCACTTAAGCTGGAGTTAGTAATCTGTGTATCGGTAACGTCTTGGTATGGTAATGTCGCTAATATTCGGCCGTAAAGTAGGTTGGTGTAAGTGGTTCAGCATCAGAAGAATTGGAAGAGACGTACGTTAGTGGCCTGTCGTTCATCGCGGCTTCTACTTCCGTCACAAATGTTTGTTAAGTTTCATAGCTTATGTTTGTCCGTCAAAGAATCTTTTTTAATGTTGTTTTTGTCAGGCCAATAAGTCTTTCCCACCAACCGCTATACCATGTTGAACGTTTAGGAATAAACTGCCACTGTGTACCCTTGTGACTAAGTGTTGATTGCAGGGAATCAGACTCAAACAGGCGTTTGATGTGGTTAGCTGCTGCCATATAAGTCGAAGCATTGTCTGAAATCATGATCTTAGGCACGGACATACGACTGCAAAATCTTCGGAATGCTTGAAGAAATGAATCTTCAGATAAATCGGGAACTAGTTCTAAGTGTACGGCTCTAGTTGATGCACATGTGAATAGACAGATGTATGCTTTTGTCTCACTTCCGGTTTTATCTTTTACGTATAAAGCGCCAGTAAAATCAACTCCTGTGACTGAGAAAGGTGGAGCATCGTCAACTCTATATTTGGGAAGAGGTGGTGGATCCGGAGCGTTGTATGGTTTCCCATCTGTTTTACGGCAAATGACGCATTTTCTAATTATCACTACCTGGCGGATTGACGGAATCCAAAATTTTTGACGTAAGTATGTTATTATTACACTTACTCCGGGGTGTAGTTGGCGTTCATGAGCATCTAATATAATAAGGTGAGTAAGATGATGCTTTGCTGGAAGTAAATACGGGAGCTTTGTTGTTTCACAAAAGGGGTTCATTTTGAATTATTCCGCCACACTGCATGTATCCTCCGGTATCTATGAAAAGTCGGAGTTGTTTCACGAGTGGAAGGCGATTTTTTTAAAGATTTTAGGTTTAAGATTTCATCACTGTACGTTATAATCTGACAACTCTTCAGCCATAACTGCTCAGCATTTTGTAGTTCTGTAATGTTTATGGTGTAAGCACCGTAGGATTTGTTGTTCTTGACTTGCAGTGGCCGAGAAATCTAAGTACATATGCAGTAACGCGAAGAAGTCTTCTATATGTGCTGAATCTACTTATGTCAATAATGTTATGTAAACCAGGTACATGTGTTGTTTCTGGGACAAGTATTGATTAAGAGGTCTCTGGATTATGTTCATAGTTGTCATCATTTGTTTCTGTTATCATTGTCAAAACTGACTTATCTTGTTGATTCCATGAAGGCCATCTTAAAGGGTTACATATCCATGTAGGTCCAGATAACAGCTGTAATGCTTTGCAGAAATACCACGTGTTAAGAGATCAGCAGGGTTTTCATTAATTGGGCAATATCTCCAGTTTCGTTTATTTGTCACTTCCTTTATTTCTTGCAATTTGTTTTCTACGAATCGTTTTTTTTTTCTGTTTAGATGTTTGTATCCAATGCAGAACTATCTGACCACATGTAAGTTTTGTCTGGGTCTACTGAGCATGTACGTTGTAGATAACGAGTCGGGAGCCTACAACAGCGGCCATCAATTCCAATCGTGGTAAATTCAACGTTTTTAGAGGTGATATCGGTTTTTCGCTATAACAAATGTAGATTTCTGTATTCCGCACAAATAGGCTACAGCGCCATAAGACTGTTTACTTGCATCGACGAAGATGTTAAGTGTACATGTGTCGTCTGCTCTACGACTAGTAGCGTCTGCTTGGTAAGTACTTGGTAGGTTGTAACGTGAAATTTTAGTTTTCATAGTCAGGTTTTCGGCAAATGATCGCAAAACTTGGCTATTGGAAGCCCATGATCTAAGGTTGAAACCTCCATCTGACTTAATATCTCGGGTATGTCGGAAAAAATTAAGTATAGCTGACTCAACTGGAAAGCTTGACAAAATGTTATCTACATATAAGTCTCTTTTTAAAATATCACTTACCCAGATGTTTTTGTTTTCTTCAAGATGTGTCAATATTGTCGCAATAAGGATAAATGGAGAGCAGGTTGCACCAAACAGAACAGATTTGAATCTTTATGTAGTGAATGAACTATAAGCATCACAAAAATCTCGTGAAATCTCGATCTTTCTCCTCGAATTGCACGTGCAAAAATCCCTTTTCAATGTCAGTGGATGCGGCGTATTTGTGTTGACGGGATGAGGATACTTGTCAAGTCATTTAATACGGGTGGGGTAGGCAATCATTCAAACTTGGAAGATAACGTGACTGTTTACAGCTACAATCATACACAATACGAATAGTTGTTGTTGTAGATTCTTTTTCCACTCCATGATCGGGAATGTAATGGGCATTTCTGGGCGGGTTCTCTGCGTTGGGAATTTTCTCTTTAAAGGTTTCCCTTTCTTGTTCATTTATGATTTCTCCGTACTTTTGTAACATCTCAGGCTGTTGTTTCAATCTGTAGATAGTGTTCTGTGTTCTACGTTTTGCGATGTTGGAGTTGGTTGGTAGTGTTCGGTGGTCAGGTTTCCATGCTAACAAAGCAGCATATCTTCCTTCCTTGAAGGTAATACATTTTTCCTGATAGTCCCGGAGATAATTTGAATGAGAACTGTTTTCTTTGGATACTATTCCAATTGACTCTAACTTCCAGAATTTTTCAAGCTAATTAACGTCTGGGGGTGAAGTTAGCACATATAGTATATGACATGGTGTCTTCTGAAGGCGTCCTGACAAAAGGTAGCCGATCTTTGAGCTTACGGCCGTAGGTCCAAGTCCACGAATCACCCGGTTCTGAACTATCTTCCAGTAGAAATCTGCACCTATCAGAAGCGAAATATCAAATGAATCTTAAGGGATGTGCCAATTTAAGCCCCTGTAAGTATGGTAAATTGTATACACTACTCGGAAGATTTTGAAGGGGAACTGCTATAGTTGGAACAATTAGGACCTGAATGGCTATCTTATATCCGGCATCTGTGACTAGGTAGACTGTTCCAGTGCTCATGTGTGTGACAGATTGGTTTGAATTTCCGAATGACGTAAGGTGAATTATCTCAGTATGACTTCGGGAAAGCTGTAATTTCTCGGCTAATTTCTCAGTAATGAAAGAACGTTGTGCACCTCATCAAACAATATATTAGCTTCGGTACTACAGTGTTTGGAACAAACTTCTGCGATAGCTGTCTTGAATAAAACATTTGCTTTTGACTGTGTTGCAGAGTGTAGTATAGTAGTATAGCTGTATCACACTGATCTGCCTGCTGTGTCGTACCTGTCAATTGACGCGAACTACTGTCACAGATACTGGTACCTTTTGTTACTAAATGATTTCCTAGGCAGTTAAAACATAAGTGTTTCTTTTTATAATTTCAATCCGCGTGTCATGAGTACAAACCTTTGTACAGTTGTTTGGCGAATGGTGTTCATTGCAGTAGACACATGTTTTTGTAGCATCAGTCTTAACTGTATCTGTTCTTCTAATATTTTGTTTAGTTGATTTCTGTCAAGTTCCGGTGAAAAAGGAAGCAGTAGGGACGTGCGCATCTACTTCCGGTACAAGTGTCGTTTGCCTCACATCCATAATTGATGGAGTGCCTTTCGAAGGTCAGCTAAAATCCATCTGTCGCTTCTGTGTTCATTTGCTAATTTTTTACGTATTTCTACCGGAAGTTTACCAATCACTAATGGTACAAGTAGAGATCCGTATGTCTCTTGAGGTTGACCAATAAATTCTAAACCGCGAGCGTATTTTTTCAGTTGATCGTAATATTTCTATAGGCTGCTAAGAGTATTATTCGATGTCGGAAATTGCAATAAGGCTTGCATATATGCGTGTACGATCTTACGAAAGCCGGTATGGTACTGGCTGCTGTCCCCTCTATCTGCGCTTTCAAAATTTAATATGTAAACTTCTGTACATCTGTGAGAGACGGGTTATTATGTACGGGTGATTCATAAGAATCCCAGAATGTCTGCCACTGAAGTAAGTCCCCTGCAAATGTTGGAAGCGATACTTTTGGAAGTTTATGGGACATCGAAAATGTTGAACTTACTGTATGTTGAGAAGTGTATACTGTAACCCAACGAATATTCGCGCCCAATTAATATTCGCTTTATTCGCGGATGATCACGAAGCGCGAATATTTGTTTGCGGGAATAAGTCCGCATGATTTCGCGAATAAATTGGAGAGAACTTTTTATTTTAGACGTTGTTCATGCAAAGCTACTTGACCGGATATATTCGAATTTTACGGGCACCTGTTAAGAAGTATAGGAAGTAATGAATTGTTATGAATGTTGCCATAAAGCAATAAAAACACAAACTACATAAACTTCTACTATTCTAAAAATATCAAAAGAATTCAATGTCCGTTTCACGTTTACGGTTTACACCACTCTTTGGTGATAAAATTTCAAATACAGCTTCGTTTGCCGTTTTAGTCATTTTTTTCTTTTCTGGAGTGCTTTCCAGAGCATGATCAGGCAAAAACGATGCCGAAACATCCCTGCATTCTAAGGGTTTCTTTTTTATCAACCACCCTTTTAACTACATGTTTAGAAATGAAGACGAACGATGCATACATGTACATATATAGAGAAAATGTTCTGCTGAATTGTGATCACAATTAACTTACCAAGACAATATAAGGCTAGCGTTTTGTTAATCCAATTTAAGACACCAATAATGACATCAATTATTGAAGATTAATAGTAGGCTAAAGGATTTTACGGCCCCATCGCACTTTCCAATCCGCAATTTTTTTTTTCGGAAATCAACAAAACGCGGAAATTAATATTCGCGAATATGTACGACCTCGGCAAAACGCGAAAATTTGTATTCGCGAATATAAATTGGGTGACAGTATACCAGGCAACAGTTGAAAAGCTTGCTCGCTGGTTTGTCGGTATAAGTCTCCATCTGAGTTATCTGCATTGTATCCCCTACATTTTCTGTAATCTTCTAAACCACTTATTTCAATGTCTTTACTCAATGTATATTCCTCTGTCTGTAGAATCTCATTTTCAATATCAGAAGGCTGAATAATCTTGATAATTTTCTGATCAATGTCTTTGACATCTTGCAACTTCATACGGATGTTCTGTAAGATCGTGTTGAATGCTGTCGGCGTTTGATCTTGTTTAGCGACTTCAATTCTCTGCAAAATATTGTTGAATACTTTTTTATGCCACTCTCTAATAAGAATAAGTCTCTCCATTTTGTTGAGGTTTGTTCACGGCACCAAATATCGAGAATCGTAATAGTGGAGTATAAGAATACGTCTTTTCAGGTTTGTATCTTTATTGTAATAAACACACATAACGTAAACAGGATGTGACGTCTACATCGTAGCGTATAAATAGCGGTAGACGTCATGTGCATAAGAGCGCTAACGTACATATCTTGACACTGCCGGCACAAACCGGGTCTGATCCAGAGTATGATATGGCCGGTAAAGCTACGGTATAGCCCCAGTGAATACCGAATAAGCCGCGGTTAACGCCGGGCAGAGTCCAGGTTATTGACGTCAGAGCCCCGGAGGATACGATGAAGCTACGGTTGATCCCCGTAGAACCCCAGCAAAGCCCGGCTCATGTCAAAAGAATCACGGAAATTTGCAATGATTGCACTTGTTTGTATCAAACCCTTCCCCATTTCCTTTATGTCCAGTCTGCCAGTCTTGCTTAAAGATTATTCAGAAATTCATCATGAATTACTTATAAAAAAGGAGGAAATATATTATTATGTATCAACATCATCAGTTTTGCGCGTTTTTAATCCACCGCGGCTTTACTGGGGCCCTGCCGTGATCGCCCTTGGCTCTACCGGGTCTCTGCCCGGATCGACAGAGGCTCT